CATGGAGCAAGAGTTAAGTGGAACTTACACTTTATCAAAGGAGCACGAATAGAATAGGGATGATTTATCACCGTCCACATTGCATGTCTAGAGTTAAATGCCAAGTTCTGACCTGTTTTGAAGAGACGCTTCTTACGTATAAATTACGACGGTAAGTAAAAAATTATCGGATCTTCTGCCACACTCAATCTTTACACTTACCGCGCTGCCTTCTATTCATTCGTACATATAGTTGATACTACTGAGGTCACGTGATAAATGTTTGATCTTGTCGCGCTAGTTTTCTTGCTGTTGTTACAGTGCAAACATGGCCGCTCCGCTAGCAGTTTGAACTAAGTAGGGAAAAAGAGTTACCTTGTCGATGAGAATTCGCTGGTTCGCCATTACCATATTTGAAGCTTTTTTGAATCTTCTCGTCATTGGAGGAGGTGGACGAACGTCCTGCTCATTCTCCTCGCGTTAAGCGTGTACTTTTAAACTTCTCAGTCCACTGATACACACTTCTAAGCTGTAGTACACTATCGCTCTATTGCGCTAAAAACTTCCAATGCATTTCAGTCCCTGACACACCGTTCGACAAGAGAAAACTTGCGCGATAAACCTCAAACTTCAATCACGGGATCACAATTATACCAACAGAGAGACACACCTAAAGATATGTTAAATGGAAGTCCAGATAATATTTAACTTACAGTCGTATGTAAATAGGTAAAAATAATAAACAATATCGTTTTCAAATTAGATAAATTTTTATCCGATAGCTTTAGGAAGGAGAGGCAAATGAACGCCATTACCAAAGTCATTTGTACGAAAATGAATGTAATAGATACTTTTATTTTACCCCATAAGGAGGAAAGGAAGATGAAGGCCTTTCCCAAGGGCATTTGTGCGAAAGAGATTGTCATAAGGTTATGGTCCGGTTCCTTGTACCACGTGATAGTCCAAGGTAGAACCAATAAAGAAGAACTCGAACACGTATATGGAATAACACAGATATATTACAAATGGGAATATATACAGAGAAATAGAAAGTGTTAGTATGAAAAAACAGGTTTAGTAGGGAGAACAATGTAGTCTCGACCAGTATCACTATTAAAATGTCTTGTAGTAATTGGCTGAACGTGACTCTGTTTCGGACTGCCTCTGACTCGACTGACTGACAGACTCCTGACGGACTTCTGACGGACCTCACCCGAAACTTCAGATTGAACAGTATTTAGTCACCCCCCCACGAGGGCATCATGTGGCACAAGGCCGGTTTAACGTGGGATCTCCCAGCCCGTGGGCTTGGTAAAAATATGCCTTTTAAACCCGTATAAACGGGTTCAGGGTCGGTTTACCTCCCCGAAAGAGACTCGTTCGGGTTCCTCCCCACCCGAAGGAAGAGAGTTCAACCGATCAGCCGGTCGTCCGACTTCGGACTGAACTCCCTGCTTCCTCTTGAGGCGCAGTATTTATTACGTATGGAATAGTCCATTATGTTATTATGGGTAAGGTCCCATAACACATAGATACTTTTGTTTTACCCCATAGATATAGGGAGGAAATGAAGATGAAGGCCTTTCCCAAGGGCATTTGTGCAAAAGAGATTGTCATAGATACTTTTGTTTTAACCCATAGCTGTAAGGAGGAGAGGCAGATGAACGCCTTTCCCAAGTGCATTTATGCGAAATAGATACTTTCGTTTTATCCCATATCTATAGGGAGAAGAGGTAGATTAACACCTTTCCCGAGTGCAATTGTGCGAAAGTAAGTGTAATAGGGAATGCTGGAATTTTAGCCTGGACACTCTCTAAAACAGCGATAGGCTTTGTAGAGAAATGTCCTGGTTTAATTTAAGGTTGTCAGTGAGAGGAAAATGCAGGGAATACAATAGAATTGAATTTTCTTTAAGCGGAAAAGTAAGCAAGAAAAAACGAAAAAGGAAATGACATAATGGGAATGAAAAAGAAATAAAATCGCTTCAAAAGAATACAGATGAAAATAGGGAATCAAAAGAGAATATAAAGGAAAGGAGAATAATGGAAATGTAGAAAAGGAAGTTGGAAGAGTAAAACTTGACACAATACAAACTAAAAGCATAGATCTGGCGCATGCCGGGTAGAATTATCTCTCAGTTGTGTGTCTGTCCGCAGACAGAGACGCAGTTGAGAACAATAAATACAGTGAGGTGACCGGTCCCGGCAAACAGTTGTCCGAGGCTTCACCTTTTAACCATGTTCACCATAGTCTATGAATATTAAATACAGCGCAGTACTTAATCTGTTCAATGAAACAACGTTAAAGATTAATACTCTCGAGTTAGACACTCTACTGAATCTGACTATATCGCCAATATCACCAACAGCAGCAGCAGCTGTTCCGTAATTTTTCAGTCTTCGATATGACTGGCAGTGAGTATTCGGAAAAAAAAACATGGCCGCTTTTATACACGTCGCATTGAATATTTTGAGCCTTCTGATTGGTTAACCCTATTTTGAGCCTTCTGATTGGTTAACCC